TTTTTTTTTTTTTTTTTTTTTTTTTTTTTTTTTTTTTTTTTTTTTCTTTACGGACATTTCTTCCGTAACGAAGAACCCAGCATGTAGGGATCTTTACGCAAGACCAACTCAAATTCTATAAATATGATATCATGCGTCGGATCCATGTACGCCAAACATGGCCGAATTAATGTAGCTTTGATAAACTTCAAGTTTGTCGGTACACAGATTATTTGTCGATTTCTTTAATGTATCAGCACGAAATATCAAGGGGAGAGACCGAACCGTTTATACCAGCTGAACCGTTTATAGCAGCTACGATGACCCTACAGTCGTTCGCGTTAACAATAGCGAATTATCATAACGAACGTAGCCGTCCACGTGATGCGCATGTAAGGTTAGGTCCAGGAGTATCGCACCGACCGAAGATAAAACCCGTTCGTTTGATTTTTCATCTTCAGGTGTTTACTCCTGAGTAACCCTGGCACATTGATCTCTGTACCAGCAAGAAATCCAGATTGACTGTGCCAATGTTCAGCACCCCAACTGCACGGTGCGAGTCGAGTGGCCGACGTATTATTTTAATTAATACCGGCGGTCGGTCCGCGGGGTGACGCATGGCGGTATAAACTAATATGTACGCAGCCTTGTTGGACATTGTTTGGCCGTTCCATGCCGCTCGGGGTCAGGGGTAGCGCAGTAGCGGGGGCGGCTTGAGCGCAGCGTTATGTGGACGTACAAACAGTGCAAGACCGTGTTGACGCATGTTTTCAAGCCTCGTTGGCTGGTATTGATCTTGCTAAGTGCAGGAAACCGGGAGAGCCCGTGCGAGTGAGGGCGAACGGGTGAACCGGCCGACGCTCAGACGGACGAACGGACGGACGTATACGGACAGATCGAGGGATGGCTGGATGGACCAATGATAGGAAAGCGGAGGAGATGCTGCGGCACGCAATCGAACTTTGTTACTTCCTTGTACTCGTTCCTCACTTGCTCTTCGTCTTTCTCATACTCTTCGCCATGTCCTCATCCTCCTCCTTCCCGGATATTGTGTGGAGCGGCGGTGGGGTGCGGTGTGCGTGGTACGGGAGTGTGCGGCACGATACGATTGGGCACGAGAACGGACGGTATAGCTCAGGTTCGCTCGACTCGGCCGAGTCGATCCGCGAGGGATCGAGTAGAAGGCCTAAGAGGGTTCGAACGCAACCATGGCAACGTCGCGTCCCCCGGGAGGTAGCCCTCTGATTGGCCGTTCCCGCTTTTCTACCTTCTATACCTACTTGCTGATTCTACGACGCACACCACTCCGACGCGATTATCAACTCGCATCTCTCACGCAATGGCCGAACTCTTACTGCTGGCATTCTACTCTGATGCTTCTTCTTCGTTCCGTTGAGAACCCAACTCCGAGGCATCTTGCTCTGGGCCTGCAGATCCTTTGGCATCTTCCCGCGCGGATTAGGCCGACACTTTATTCCCTGGGCACTTCACTTCGGACCAATCGATTTTCGCGAGACTCGTATAATCAATGGCAACCTTGTTTGCTGGCAACGTCCTGCACATTATGCCTTTACTGGATTACTCAGGAGCGCGATATTTTTTTTTTTTCTTTCTTTAACTTCCCTTGCTAGCGGATACGTTTATCGGAGGATTTTATTTTTATTTTTTAAATCCTTTTTCGTCGATACGTGGTTTAACGAAACAGCGGAGATTACTTATAATTTTATGTTTTTGCGAGTTTGTATTCGGACAAATAGGACATTAATAGGACATTATTACAAATAGGACATTTTAAGTAATACGAGAAAAACTTTGTATGTTTGTGGATTACTTTGTATACCCCAGGGACGAGGGTGGATTCATTTATCGAGTAGAAGAAATCCTCTTAGCTCGAGGTAAAATCTGTAACATTGTAACCCAAAACTTCAGCTAGCAAAACTTATGCGAAATCTCAGCAATACGTATCGCGAGGCACAAAAAGTAAAAATATAAGCTCGATCTCGATCGATCATTCGTTACGATCCACTGATAAAATATTTTCCAACCTAATGATCCAAAGATCTACAAAAAAAAAAATAAATAAATAAAATGGATCATTAGGTAGATCGTGCCTGGAAATTTTGCTCACGCGCACAACTCTCTAATCGCAAAGCATCATTCGTGAACATTAAAGGCAATAAGGCTCAATCCGTCATCACAGAATCGTGCGCCGTATGGAGTAAAGTGTAAATGATTGAATAAATGATTATTAATAAGAACGAATGATTTTCCATATATAATCGAACCACCGTATCGGACTCTGATATTAACTGATAAAAAAATATCAATCATGCAATATCCAATATCGTTACAATTTGCCTCAGTATGAACGACTATAACGTCCTTGACCGAACCAGACATATTTTTTTTTCCAAAAAACTATGCTACTCAACGTGACAATGCTGTCTAAGAAATTGAATATAAATATATAAATCTGAGGTTGTCTTGTGTTCCGGTCATATAAAATCCCACTGTCAAACGTACCATACTGTGTCACAAGTGCCAAGATACACGTATCAACTGATGCTGATAGTCTGTCGAGGTAGAACGTAAGAACGAAATCGCGATTGAGAAAATCATTGGACCACCAAAGGCTCTAACCTAACGAATGGCTTGTGTCGCCGTGTCTTTATAGGTATGGTTCAGTAATCGCAGGGCCAAGTGGCGTCGCGAAGAGAAATTACGAAACCAACGGAGGGCCGCCGTCGATCAGGTAGTAGGAGGCGGAACCGGCGGGGGTGGCAGCGGCGCAGCACCTCCAGCAGCGACTCCGGCGACACCTCGGCTACCCTTGAACGCTGGATTCAATGCCATGTACTCCTCGATACCGCAGCCGATCGCCACCATGCCTGACACTTACAGGTAAGTCCAATGATATGGTGCTTTGGTCATGACCGGCGAGCGTCGCGACACCAAAGGCCAAAGGCGTGGGTAGGCGTAATGTCGGGACTCTCGAAAAGCCGGCGATCATGGCGAAACTTCTTCTTCTTCCTCACGTAGTTCAATGTCGAGCAGCTTGGGCGGGTCAATGGGTGGAAGTTGCCTTCAACAGCGAGCCGAGGGTTACCCGGCGTATGTGTTCCACGAGCCTCTCCACTCCCTTACGCAATCTTACTCTCACGCGCACAGTACAGCTGCGCACTCGCAACCCCATCGCGGGATACCGACCTCCCACGGGGGTACCCCCACCACGCCCGGAGGGCAGCCAGCGGGACCAGGCGGTGCCCCTTACCAGCCGACGACCTCCACCGCAACCGGTAAGTCTTTTGCCATCCGACATCCGCCTCTGTACGTTGTTCATTGATGTTTCATCGAATTACCCGTATACTGACCGGCGGGACGAACGGAAATATCATTTTCTGTTCTTTTATCTTGGTTTTATTTTGTTGCTTTTTTTTGTTTTTTTTTTTTTTTTTTAATGGATCCTTTCAACTGTGATGTCTGCACTTGTTATTGGGGTGTAACGCTGAATTTGTTAGCGACTGGTTTTTTTGGAGCTTTTTCATTTTTTTTTTTTTTTTTTTTTTTAATGGATCCTTTCAACTGTGATGTCTGCACTTGTTATTGGGGTGTAACGCTGAATTTGTTAGCGACTGGTTTTTTTGGAGCTTTTTCATTTTTTTTTTTTTTTTTTTTTTTAATGGATCCTTTCAACTGTGATGTCTGCACTTGTTATTGGGGTGTAACGCTGAATTTGTTAGCGACTGGTTTTTTTGGAGCTTTTTCATTTTTTTTTTTTTTTTTTTTGTAACTGTTTGAGGATCGAATTTTAGGGAATCTTTAGACTGTACGGTTCTCTGTATGGGTATTTTAGTAGCTTGGAAGTGATAAGTTTTTTGGGATTTTTTTGCATGGCTGGTTTAATGTCAGATTTGGAGTACTTGTGTTTTTTCGCGAATAACGCAATTGCTTGTTCGTTATATTTTAGTAACTCAGTATTTTTGAAATGGAAAACTTGTTAAATTTATGTAACTATCAAATTCGTGTGATTACTGAATATTGAAATGAAAGGATATGGCAATGCAGTAATAAAAACAATTTGTCATTAATTGTTACATTCGGGTACTTCGAATCGAACATTCATCAAATACCATTCATCGAGCATCAAAAGCTCCAAAGCTGTATTAATAGAGATTTTGTACGTATAGCATATAGTACAGTGAACGAAAAGATATACCCAAAAAATATTCACGCACATTTATTTAACGCATAGAATATCTTTCAGTACAGCTATCATATCCGTAACATCGCTGATATTGTCAAATGTTAGAATTTCTTTAGGCGTACATTTTTATAGATTTTCTATTTTTAATGTTTATCTTTTCTGGCCTAGTTATCATGTAAGGCTGCACAAGCTCGTATTAATGCTATAGTCAATCCACGAGTTCAATATGTCTTTGACAGTTTGTAAGCAATCCGTAGCAAATGCCACATGATTTTCCATGAAATAGAAAAAAAATAAAATATATTTCAGTGCAAAGTCATGCGCATGCTTATCTTGTAACAAAAATTTAATGCGAAGCCCACTTGTCTCTTGTTAGATACTTCATTATTTTCAATCTGTCAAAAAACCACATTGGACTCGTAAATCCGCTATACATGTTGTGACGTGATTTTTCGAATTACGGTCCCAAGGCAGCTCCGGTTACCGGTACAGATAACGTTCTCGATTTCTGGTTTCCTTCGGGTCGCCACCCTGCTCAGAAGCTATGCTCTCGGGTTGATTCGTAAAGTTATGGCAATGCTCTCGTAAGATGTCGTTATTGTTTAGTTGAGGTCGAGGTGCTCGAATCTGCCGTGGGCAGAGAGTCTCGACGTACCGAGTTGCCCGGCAGAGGAGAGTACCCGACGGAGACGTCTCCACGGACCGGCAGAAGCCCGGGTGAAACACCGGCGCCCCGCTGGAGATGGGCAAAGGGCTGTAGAGCGGGCGGAGATAAGGTTTTGCTAAGATTAAGGGCAAGGGAGGAACCTCCTGTCCGAGTTAAGGATGTGGTGCCCAGCTGTCGCCCGATGCCCTGGGGAAGCGGCCGTGGAGGATCTCCAGGAGATACGTACCGATTCGCTAAGGAACGCTCTCGATTTGGTTTAAAGGGACGACTAGAAGGAGATAGAAGAGTTATCGGTTATAAGGCTCTCGACCAATCAGAAT